CTGATTTTCAGCTGCTCTCCTGGAGGTTCTACCGAGGAAAGACTGATTTCCAGGTGCTCTCCTGGACTAAATGATGTGTGAGATGATGGGAGGACACCCAGCTTTGCTAGGAGGACTTTTGTACTTTTGGATCACCTCTCCAGGTGTTCCCCCTCTGGTCACCCCTCCCAGTGACCTGCTGCCAGCTCCACTTTGGCTGTGTGGCAGAAGACATGTGAGTGATTCACTCCTAGCCATAAAACACCACCTGGATGTGGAGCAGGTGAGGGAGGCATGGCTGGCGTTTATCTCCTCTGCTTCCACCACCTGCACCTGGAACCTTCTGGCTTGGGATGGCACGGCTGAGACAAGGTCCTCTCCCACTGGATCAGACTCCTGCTGCACAGTGCACCCAAACAACCCCATCCCTCAGGCCTGGGTAGGAGGTGCTGATCCTTCTGGTGGTCCTCAACCACCTTGGAATGTTGGTGTGGAAGCCTGGAGGGTGGATTTTTGGGGGTTGAAGCTCTCCTGGTCTTTGTGGTGGTTGGTGTGGCCGAGCTGGGTTTGTTTATTTTTGTTTCCTGCAATCATTCATTGTAAAGCCAAGTGTTGTTGACACAAGATAAGATCAGCCGGCACAGATGTCCCTCCCCTGTGCCTATTGCCGTGGAGCCGCTCAGACTCTGGGTCGGGAGCGGCTGTCCTGCTGTGTCCCCACCCCTCCTGCCCGTGTCCCCACCCAGTCTCGCTGACAGGGCCTTAAAGTGACATCAGTGATGATGTGATATGTGGCTTATCTGCAAGTGAGCTCAGTCATCACCTCAGCCCGGCGGGTGTCAGTTGCTTGCTTGAGAAATGCCAGTGATGCCCTGGAAAATATGCTCCAGGAAAGGATCCAACTCCTGTGGTTTCACCACAGACATGGGCAGTGGTGGTTTGCTTCCTGAACTGAGGAATGGGAAAGTCTTGGCCCATGGGCAGCACCTTGTTCCTCCATCCAGGGTTGCAGCAGTTCCCACTGAGGATGGAGCTGCATCATTTTGGGATGCTTTTCCCCCTGGATCAATAATACAGGCCATCCAACATGTCATTTCTCTACCTGTCTGGCATGTGCGGTTTCCATCAAGGAAAAAAAACAAACATAAACGGTTCCAGCCACATGTGAAGGGCTCCCATGTCCTGCTCATGATTGGATGTGGTGCTGGAGGGATGGTGAGGGGAGACGAGATCCCAGTCCAGCCTTGCTGCTGCAAGAGAAGAAAAAAGCCTCAGTGCGAATCCATGGATGGGCTGTGGGAGCTCATGGACTAAATAAGCTGCAGGCAGCTGCCTCAGTGTAGCTAGAGCTGCTGGATCACCCTGCAGGAGAAGCAGGAGGAACAACTGAGCTGCATGAAGCCCAGGCAAGGGAAGTCCTGCTTTTTCTGCTTCAGCTCCAGGATTGTGAATGTGAGAGGCAATCAGGAATGACTTCTCCAGGTTTATTTTGTGGATTTTTTGATCATGAGTGGGTTTACATGATGCCAGGGCTGCTGCCAACAAGTGGGGTAGGCCTGGCTCCAAGGGGAAAAAGATATCTGTGCAGGATAATCCTGGGGACCGCACACCAATGGTTGTGGGCCTGCTAGCCAGGCCCTTCAGTCTGCCATTTCCTTGGTGACACAGAATGGAGGTCCATGTGCAGCACAGGCACAGGGGTTATTGATCTGTCAGAAACCATGGAAGTGCCTGAGAATGTTCACACAGGAATTGGGACTTCTCCCCCAAAAACATGGTGGGATCAATAGCCTAACTGAAGTGCATCTGCACCAATGCCCACAGTGTGGGCACCATCAGGAAAGCTGTGATATAATTGCCATCACGGAGACACGAGGGATAACTTGAGCAACTGGAGTGTTGCAATGGATGGGGATAAACTCTCCCTCATTTACCAGCAGGCCTAGCTAAATGAGGAGGTCACAGTTAGCCACAAGTGAGCATGTGATGCTCAGCTACAGGAAGGGCCAGAAGAGGATTTGGGGAACTACAGAGTGTCAGTCAGACTTCTGTGAGAGGAGCAGGTCACCTTGAGGGCCATCACACAGCATGTAGAGGACAGCCAGGGGATTGGGCCCAGCCAGCACAGGTTTGTGAAAGGCAGGTCCTGCTTGACCGACCTGATCTCCTGTGACAAGGTGACACACTTTGTGAATGAGGGAGAGGCTGTGGGTGTGTTTACCTGGATTTTAGTAAAGCCTTTAACACCATTTCTTCACGGAAAGGGCTGCACGGAAGGGGCTGCCCATCCCTGGCACAGGCTGTCCAGGGCAGTGGTGGAGTCACCATCCTTGGAGGGATTTAAAAGCTATGTGGATGTGGCACTTGGGGACATGGTTTAGTGGTGGCCTTGGCAGTGCTGGGTTAGTGGTCGGACTCGATGACCTTAGAGGACTTTTCCACGATTCCAAGAGTCTATGATTTTTTCATCCCCTTGGAGGATTAATCTCGCCGCTAATACAGCTTTTCGTTCGCAAAGCGCCTTAGAGGAAGCTGCGCCAGGAGAGCATTTGGAGAGAGAAACTGAAAGTGCTGAGCAGCACGCAGCTGCTCTCCTGCTTCCAGCCATCCCACCATTGCTCTCCTTTCGTGTGGAATAACGGGGGTTTTCCCAGCTTGGCTCACAGGAGTACTTAGGGAAAAATACGAGAGCTCCGTGGCCGTGTGGTTCCTAGACGTGGAAGCAGGAGATTTCAGCACTCCAGTCAGTCCCTTTGAAGCCAGGAGGAGCAGCCCGGCAGGTAGGAAAGTGGGTGAAGCCAAATTATCCATCAAAACTGGATGGGAGGGAGCACAGCCTCCCACCCAACAGCTTCCAACCGCCACAAATCCACCCAGGGTCGTGCCTCCCCCCCAGCCGGGCTCTCGGGACTAAACCTCCTGCGTATCCTATGGATCAAATTAAACTTCTCTCCACGCAGAGCTTTGTCTCGAGCAGGCAAATATTTCCGCGGTGCTTTAACGACTCTCATTTTCCTATTGTTCCCTATAAAAACGCGTCGCCAGGCTGGGCTTCCCCCGAGGCGTTTTCCTGGCTCCCTTCGTAGCGCAGCTGCAGGGTTGGGGTTTTTCTTTCGCTTTTTAGCTGGATTAAGACCCTGCAGCTCACTCTCTTGGCATGTGAGTTGAAAAATGAGGCTTTTGGGGACTGTGAGCGTGGTGGTTATCCAGAGTGGGATGGGATTGCGCGGAGCCGGGTGGTTTGGTGGCTGGATCAGCCGTGGTGAGCTGGCTGAAGCCTGGCTGTTGGTGCTGGTGTGGTTGGATGTCTGTCAGCTGAAGCCTGCACCCTGGTCTCGCTTGGCCTTCACACCAAAGCACCCTCCCCATTGTGCTGAACATTTTTTGGGGGCAGAACTTTGGGAGTAAAAGCAGGAAAAGGGGATCACGTCCTTGTCTGCAGCTTTGCCTGGGGGTGCTGAGTTGCCGTGTGCTTCTGACCACCCTCCAGCTTCCCCTTCTCCTCTCATCTCCTGCAGTGTCTTCCCCATGCAGCTGTGTTGATACAGCAGGAGGAATGGGTCAGGGTGTGATGGCAGGGGGTTGGGATGTGTTGCAGCCAGGTGAGAGGGATGGGGCTGGAGATGGGCCTGGCATCAAGTGGTTTATTCCAGCCTTGGACACTAAAGCTGGAAGTGGGAGTATTGCAGGGAGTTGGGCTGCATGGGGATGGTGAATGTTTTCCCAAAGCCAAGTGGCTATTCTTCTGTGCCTAAGGACTAAAAATTGCATGGTATTCCATGGAAATGGGCTGGAGAAGAGGGATTCTGCTGCCATCTCATCAGGCATCTCCATAAACTGTTGAGATTGAGCCCTGGTTTGCACCAAGATTGGAACGTAAATCTCTTTCAGTTTCTTTTTTGGCTGGAATTTAAAAGTGAAAAGAAGGAAGCACTAACAGAAGTTTAGTTTCTGTCTTAGAAAACTTATGTTTTCTAACAAAAGCAGCTTTTCTTCACCAAAGGATCCTCTGAATCCTTTCTGCCTGCTGCCTCCTTTAGGTTTGGTTTATTTCAGTCCTGATCTGGAACATCCAGTTTAGGAGCAAACTGCGCTTGTTGTCAAAACCCAGATTAATAATGATTATGAATAACTTATTCTTCAGTATTCTGAATTATTCATTGTGAGGGTAGCAGCAGATCCCAGACTGTTTCCACGAGGACGCTGTGTTGTATTTTCTCACCTTATTAACACAGGTCCTTGCCACAAATCCGTGCGGACAAAGGCTGCTGCCAAGCTGGGTAGAACTTAGGTTTTGTGTGAAATACCCAATTTGCTGCTTAAAAGTTTACCCTCTTCCTTCTTGCTATTAAAATAATGTTTTCCTATGCCAGTGCAGAGCAAGTCAGGGCTTTGGGGTGGATTTTTTTTTTTTAGCTGGAGCATCGTTCTCTTAAGAGTTGGACTCCAAAGATGGGTTGCAATGCCCTGGCGGGTTGCTCGCCTGGGATGGCATCCTGCCTTTAGGCTACAGGTGGATGAGCTAGCAAGGCTAACCTTGGATACCCACATCACTCCAGACACATCATTGGGCTGGAAATTCCCCTTCTTCGCCCCAAAACCAGCCCCAGCATGGATTCCTCTGTGAGGACTCGCTGTGTGGCAGCCATCTCTGCGGGCTGCTCCTCGCTTTTGTTTACATCTGGTAGAAAACTTCTTAAATTTACTGGCAAGGGAGTAATTCTAATCCCTTTCAATGAGATCAACGGATTAGTGTCTCAGATGCTTATAAAATTGTGAGGATTAGCCGAGCCTCCCCCCCTTTTCTTCCCATGCTGCGTAACGTCATCGCCGCGTTTTTCAAAGGGAATCTCTGTGCTGTTACCAAAAGCTGAACCAATTTCTTTGCGAATCAAAGCCTTTGAAAACAATGTCTTCATCCTCTCCCTCTCTCTCCCTCTGGATTTTTGTACAATATTAGGGTGTTTTTCTCTTGTTTTCCAGCACCCCTGGCACCAAACCGCGGTAGCCGTTCGGCAGATACGTTGGGTTTGCGTGGCTTGGCTGCGTTGCGGCACCCGTGCGGGTAAGTAGGGAGTTGAGCCCAAAGTTTTCCTTGATAGAGTCTTGCAGAATCACATCTTGAGAGGAGCAGCTCCCAAAAACCATGTTATTCCATGAGGTTGCCCCTTCTTTCAAAGGATTTTGTGGTCCATCCCCAGAGGGAACGGCACTTTGGGATGCTCTCACCACTGCTGGTGGGAGCAACAGGAGCAGGATGAAATTACACACACCCACATTCCTGCATCCTCTTAATTACAACCTGTGCTTTCATTAGGATCACTAACCAGCTCGCACAGAGCTGACGTGGAGGAGAGTTTAGTCCAAACTCTTGCTCTGTGCCTTTCCCTGCAGGGTGTTTTTTAAATGCCTTTTCTCCTGGGTCGATGGCTGCGCGGTCGCTTGACCTGTGTGAGCAAAGTGATCCCAAACTGCCGAGTGGTAGGAGCTCGGAGCCAGGAATTCCTGGCCCTGGCCCAGTGTAGTTTCAGAGGCAAGCTTTTAAATATATACAAAGACAAGCTCATAATTTCCACTCTACTAATGAGGCCATGGCGTTTTCATTGAAATGTGCCAATCGGCGCCGCGGTGGTATTTTAGCAGCCTTGTACTGTGAATCCAAATGTGATTTAACATGGCAGCCCCTGTGGAGCCAAGGGAAAACGGCTTC